TGATTTCTTGCTCTTGAAGGGCCGCAAGAATTAACTGGAAGCTAGAAGGGCCTTAAATGAGCTCAGTATTTCCAGTATTATTAGTCTTACAGCATTTCATCTCTTTAACTTATAGCTTAGTGTGCCAAGAATAGATGATAGGAAGTTTGTGTGGGACTTTAAGCAGTATTTAATTTGCATTGGCATGCTGAAATGACTAATAAAATTGAATAGCATTCTTGTTCTCAACAAAAAAATACATAAATAAAAATTTGACATATGGTTTGTGTTAACATTCCAGCATTTAATGGAGGCCCCTGAGGATTTGGAGGCCCAAAGCAGGAGTTCAGTTAACATGTGTCTTGGCTGGCTCCTCTCCAGGGGTATACATTTGTATTTTTTCTGCCTTAAAGATGAATGAAATTATATACTTATGAAATTATGACAAGAAAACACAAGGGAACATGTTCAGAATAAAAAAGGGTCTAAAGGTGGCTCCTTGAGGAACTCCAGAACTAACAGGCTGCTAAGGAAGAGAAATTTCAAACAGCTATGATAAGGACAACGGCCTTCATCCCAAGTTCAAAAAACTTTCATACAGTAACAAAATCTAAATATTTAAATAAAAACATATTGTCAAAGCTCTGGAATAAGGGCTGCTAAAGCTTTATGGGGAAACTTCTCCATAAATTTCCCTATTACTTTAATAAAGAAATTGCAGATTTAAACAAATGGTCATTAACTGATTCCAAGCCCCCCCAACCCTGACAGCTCACATAACAATGACTCCCCCTCTCCCATCTGCACCCACCGCAATGATGACACGTTAAATACATCTGCATGCAAACAAGACAATTGGATATTTTGTATTCTCGCCTCAATGAGCAGAAAATAAATACCACCTCAAGCAGCTGCATTAAATCAGCTTCTCTGCTAAGCTGCTATGTGCAGCTCTTTCATCAAATTTACGCAGACTCACTGTTGCGCTCTATCGTCTTTCTCTCCTTTTTCCCAGTTGGCGTCGAGTATCTTTGATTGTGTTTTCATTCATCACTCGCTCACCACTGCTCTTCTAATGATCTGCTATCAGGAAGTAACATCTTACCTCAAAACAGACTAATGAAACCAGTGGCTCTGATTGGATTTTGATTTTTTTTTTTTAAACAAAACCTTTAGAGAGTGTATTAATTAAACAGCATAACTGAAGCAATGTTTTTTTTGTTCCCCCCTCCTCACCCCTGCACTCGCAAGAACTGTAGCCTGATAAGCAATCAAACACAAATCGATTGTTCCACAGCGATTATTCTTCACAGCTTGCAAAACGAGAACATTTCATCAGGCAGAATTTAAGGGTCTGCTTGGCTCAGTGGTTCCTGCTGCGGCTTTGTTCTTTAAAAACAAAGTTAAATGTTGGCCGGCGTGCTGGTGAGATGTGTCACCTGCTGTCCCGTGTGTGTGTGGGCTGTGCACCGACATGCAGGGAAGGACTCCTGCCAACAAACAAATGCTCTTTTTTTACGTCCAGAGTATTCCACCCTCTTCACTCAGACAATACATTCGCCTGCCCAGCAGTCAGGTCTTCTCTGAGTGAGTTAAAATTTCCCATGCATGTTTATTCCATTAGTATGTTTTGCTAAAAGAAAAATAAAATGAAATGATCATGGAAGCTGAGAAAGGCAATTTGTTTTACCTTGACTCAATATGTGAAATATATAGCGACATGCAAAACTACCAAAAGGTTTTTTTGTTTTGTTTTTTTTTTATGTTCCAACCACGTAAGTGGATTTTTATTCATAGACCAAAAATAATGCAGAACTGTACAGTGAAAAGAGAAATATGCATATGAGTGAGCAGAGCTGTTTGCCTGTCAGCAAGACAGCTAAATTATGGCGTCGTCTGACCGGAGCACCTTGTGCCACATGTCTGCTCACATGGCTTGAGGCAACAACAACAACAACAAAAAACTTCTAGCTTTTTATCAGTGGCAAAGTAAAGAAGGCATTCCTCAAATCCTGACAAGAAGATGACCATGGAGGAAAGTCAACAAGATGTAGGAGGAATACTGAAAAAGAAGAAAAAGAATATATATAGTTTTTTGCATAAATTATGCAAAAAGATGATTATTCTATCATCTTAGCCACATTTATAGATTTCATTGTGCTTGTTCCACCCTAAAATTTATTTCTATATTTATTTTTAACTAAGTGAACAATAATAGAAATTTATGTTTCTATATATCCAATAGTTTGTTCTGAATAACCAAACACTGAAACCTTTGCTCCTCCAGAACTCCAAAATGAACATTTAATGCTCATATAAGAACAAGGTGGTTAGAATATGTTAAACCAATAAATGGTCTCTGACAAATACAAATATTTGATCATGTGATGTGAATGGTAAAATGTTGCCAGTTTTTTTCTTTTTTGTTAACGTGCTACAATGAGCCTTGCAATAAACTGGCGACCTGATCAGAGTGTACTCTACTGAGATAAGTGCCATCAATTCTCAGGAATTAGTGCGAATAATTGTAAAATTCAGAAAGTTCTGTGACCATCTGCTCTTTAATTCAATACCAATAAATGTGCTTTTACAGAATATCATTATTTTTTTTTCACCAAAACAGACAGCAGTTAAAAAAAATAAACCTGCAGTAGGTGGTGGAGGAGGAGTTGCATCGTTTCCAGCATCATTTGTGTAAATAGTAGAATAGATTGTTGCTCTCTAGTAGAAGAACTTCTTTAACCTCTCATTCAATGCAAATTAAGAAAGTTGTACCTGCAACAAACTAAGCTATAAGTTAATAAGTTAAGCCTTAATATCGGTTTGATTGATATTTCTTCTTTTGAATGAGAGGTCTGATAATTGTTCATGTAATTTACGTTAGCACAGATCCCACCTGGACCCCTAAACAATCATTTTATAAACACAGAGCTCATTGACTGTGTATGAACTCATGATATGCTGAGAAAGTAATGAAACCAAAATGGTGTGGTTATGTAACAGATTTTTCTTAGATTGTAAGAAAGAGCCAGCTGAAGGCAAGCTGCTGCTTGGAGACCCAATACCAAGATCAGACCCTGGAGACACTTTGGCTTTTAATATGAAATAGATTTCAAAGTGTGAAATTTGTATTCTTTGTTAGGATCCTGAGTTGTTTTGAGGTTTGTTTATTTTGTATTCTTCAGTTTATTTTTTATTAGATCAGTTTTGTTTCTGTTTTATGTAACCCGCACTTAGTCAATTAGTAAAGATTTTTATTGTTGCGGGCCCACTTCCTGTGTTGCCCCAAACTCTTCAACTTATTTAAAACCCCGCCTCCAGCGCAGTTTGAACAACATCACCTGTTCCACTGTGATTGTGGCTGGCTGTTGGCGTCTTGCTGATAATTTCATCCTGGAAATTCACCCAAATCTCTGCAACAACCAACGCACAGCAGTTATCTCTTTTATAAAGCATGGGTCTTAATGTCTCTAATAAATATGATAGACTTCACATTAGACACATTTCTGATTTATAGGAAAAAGCTAGAGTTAGCATGGTTATTAGATTTTGAATGACAATCAATATGATTTCTTGCTCTTGAAGGGCCGCAAGAATTAACTGGAAGCTAGAAGGGCCTTAAATGAGCTCAGTATTTCCAGTATTATTAGTCTTACAGCATTTCACCTCTTTAACTTATAGCTTAGTGTGCCAAGAACAGATGATAGGAAGTTTGTGTGGGACTTTAAGCAGTATTTAATTTGCACTGGCATGCTGAAATGACTAATAAACAACTGATTTGAATTATTGAACTGTTGGCGGTTGTTACCTGGGCTGTCACCGGGATTATCACAGCTGATCGCAGTCTAATACGGCCCATACTGATCAAAGGTCGGGTTTTTTTCCCATAATGGATAAGATCCTCAGATCCTCTTTGAAACTGATGGCGAGCTAAGGACAAGAACTTTGATCTTTGAATTGATTTATTTGGAATTAAGTTGTCCCTCGTTGTGTATTTGTAATCGTTGTTTGTTTTCTTCCCCCAATTAATCAATACATTCACACCAAAACTAAAACACTGCTTGTGTCTTCATTCACACCTCAGGCTCCTTCAAAAACGAACCATCTTCTGATGCTGCTTTTGTAGCCGCAGTTAGCTGCATAGCCCATAACTGTTACATTCGGTGGAACAGGTGATGTTGTTTAAACTGCGCTGGAGGCGGGGCTTTAAATAAGTTGAAGAGTTTGGGGCAACACAGGAAGTGGGCCCGCAACAATAAAAGTCTTTACTAATTTAATAATTGCGGGTTACATTTACTTTAATTCAGTCCTTTCTCAGTGAACAGTTTATGTTTATTTCTTGTGTTTAGTTATTATTGGTTAATCTAGTTGAATTACGTCTCTTAGGTCTAGTTCTTCTTTAGTGTAAAATGTATTTCCCAGTCCCGTGTACTCTCCCTTGTCCCCTGTGCCTCTCTCTCTCTCTCTATCTATCTATCTCTATCTCTCTCTTTCCACTCACAACTGCAACCCGTTTCTAATCAGCCACCTGTTTTTTGCTCAGTAATCAGTCTCCCCAGTATAAACAGAACTCATCCTCAGTTCCTTCTTGTTGGCTCCTCCAGTTAAATACTGTTACTTCCCTGTTGTTCCCAGTGCCTGTTTTTGTTGTTGTTGTTGTTCTGCTCTGGCTCCCTGTGTTCCCTGTTTTGTTTTATTATTATTATTATTTTTTTTTGTAAGTTTTTTTTTTTTTTTGGTAATTTTTTATTTCAAATATTTAACATGATCCATGCTCATAGCTCCAGCCTGCATTTTAGTCCATCCATAAACTCACAGATCATGACATTCATGACAAAATAAATAAATAAAGTTCTGGTAAATAATACAGTTTCATTTAGAAATCAAATAGTCACGTCACAATCTGATAGTCAAATTTATCGTGGGTTTTTAATTATTGTTGCGAGCGAGATTTAAACAGGCTGATTTAAACCTGATTTAAACAGGCTCCTGCCTGTTTAAATCTCCCTCTCCCTGCGATGCAACTTCCGTTTTCAGCACCGCGGACAGCTCCGTCTCTCTCATTTTTTTTCCTCCCCCCACCTCGCCGAGACCTTATACGGCAGCTTGAGGCGGGGAGGTAAACTTTTGCCAATATCCTGACTGAAGATTTGTACCCGGTTGTATGCGGAGCAGTGTGCGCGTCCTTCTGCTCCCATGTCCATCACAGCCGCACGTCGCAGCTAGAAGCCAGAGCGTCCGCCACCCGACAAGGGGAGAGGCTCCGGAGACAGATAAAGGCTCTCGATATGAAATGAATATGCCCGGATACGATTCCGTGAGACAGATTCGCCGTTATATGCTGCGGGGGATTAAACTGTAACCGTGATCGTTATTTAAAGGGGGAGAAAGAGAGAGAAAAAAAATTGAAAAAAAAAAAAAAAGAGAGAGTGTGGAGTGACCCACAGCACAGAAACAGAGCCGAGAGAGGTGGTTGAAGAGAAAAGGACTGCTGAGCCAAAAGGGGGGGACGCGAAAGGAGGGAACCGATCTGCATGTGAGACCGCTGGTCCAGGCGCGCGCACACCGGAGGCAAGAGATGCAGCCCGCGAGCAAGCTCCTGACTCTGATTCTCCTCGTCTTCATGGGCACAGAACTCACCCAAGTAGGTTTGCTTTTCTTCACGCCATTTTCCCACCTGTTTGTTTATTCTTTATGCATATGTATACACGTATCTAAAGGTTAAGTGGCTCTCCCTCATACAAGGAGACCCCGAGAATTAGCCCCTCCCCCCCCCCTACTCCCTCCTTCTTAAACAGATTAACAGCCCGGGATTACATGATTGTGAATGCGTTGTGCCTTCACTTATCTCCACCGCTGACACATCGGTCCTCGTTAGCGAAAGGTCTGATTTAACATTTCCACCGTTCTGCTACCAGATGTTGCCAGCAGCTTCCTGTAAAAAAAAAAAAAGAAAGAAAAAAGAAAGAAAAACAAGGGCCATCAATTAACAATAGTGATAGACTGCTGCTCCTTACAGAAATCGGAGCTAAACAATCAAATGCAGTGTCTCACATGAGAGGGGTGGGTGGTGGAGAGGGGGTAGGGGGTTTGAGCATGCCCACTGACCACACTGTGACTTTGCTGGCGACTGTGAGTGGAGGGAGCAATTATTCCAACAATGGCCTCAAAAAAGTGTGCGCACTAAAACCAGTCAGACGTTGGGGTTGTTTATTAGAAACACCTGACAGGCAGTAAACATCATAAACATGAGACTGCCAGGCTGGTGAGAGCGTGAGGGCGTGAGGGGAGTGGGTTTATTTATCACCAAGGCCCCTGCCTATGCTGTGAAGGATTTGTATTTATTTATTTTTTCTCTTTTTTATCATCTAATTATGCTTGCTTCAGCACAAATTCATATGTTTCTGTGTTGCGAATCCAACTGCAACTGGTAATTGGAGAGAAAATAATATCAAATGTGGAACGAGGCACTATCA